GATCTCATCCAAAGGGTGTATGATCCGATGAACTGGACGCCGGCCCCCAATGAATTGCGGTTTTCGCACACCGCCCCGCTGCCTTGTGGGTCAGGTTTTGGCTAGCCAAAGGCTCCAGTTGTGAATTCTTTAAGAAAATTCACCTGCCTTGACCTGGGCAACCTGGCAGTATTCGGCCCACATGCAAATCATGGAAAATTTTTCTTCTTTTATAAAGATTATTGTACCATGATTTGTTTGGTACAGTCTGGATTCAGATGTGTGTGTGCGTGTGCGAAAATGTGTAAATTATATATATCCCTGAAGGTCAATTTGACCATTTTCATACCGAACGTTTTGTCGTTTTGGACGACATGCTTCACTCCTATTGCTGTCAGTCACAGTCCGTTGTGTTTCACTAGACAATCCGGAAACAATGTAGTTTGTTCGCACGGGTTTTGTCTAGATAACTCGAACCGCAAGCGATACATTTGTTTTAGACATTTCAATCTCGGGGCTATTTGCATTTCACTGCGCATCTGTGATGACTTCGGTGTGCCCACAACTGAATAGTTCACGAAGTAACATATTTCCTTTCTACTCAGCCGTACATCGTCTATAAAATCCCAGAGTGCGAATACGAATCCAGTGTTAAGTCAACTGAGATGTTCGCATTTATGCTTACATAAGTTGTACAAATACAAATACAGTACAAGTTAAGAGAAGGTTTATTTAGGAGAATACAGTCATGCATTGAGCGGTTTGCAATGCAAGTATATGGAGTTTCAATGGGCAAAATAATTATTATCCCGAGAAGTTGACAGGCGGTGAAAAGATCGTCTGAATCCGTCCATAATTCGCCTGATTATGAAAATTTTTTCACCGTATTCAGCGTTTCACTCGCATATCCGACACAGTTTCTTCGCCAAAACTCAGAAAACCCTCGACAAACGTTTGAAATTCTCTCGAGTTTGATCTGTGTGGTCCCCAACAATTGTCTTTCTCTTCCAGTTTGTTTTCTTCTCGATCCATCCAGTTAAGAACTTTTGTCTGTCCCAGTTTGACCAAAGTGTAAGTGAGCCAATCTTCCGTGTTCTCCCGACCAGGAGTTCGCATAAATAACAGTCTGATATTGTCCGATTGCCGATCCAGTTGAACGTCCAGTCTCAGTCCAATATTTGTCCCGTTGATATTCTTGTAAATGAGGCCACTTCTTTTCGCCTCAAGATAGTCTGACCATTGGCTTTTCAATTGATTTGAGCCGTAAACTGCCTCCAGAGGTGCACGGGCTGCGATTGGCCAATCGGATATCCTACGGTACGGTTCCAGAGCATCGTAACCAGTAACACGAACGGACAGAGGAACTGGACACGGGATCGCTCCTTCGTTGGCCCATATCAGAAGTTTGCGGACCTCTGTGAGAAGCAAACATAACGATTTGGCGTTGCGTCAAAATTGTCTCGTAATAAAATACTAAGCACAATGTAACGTTCAAAAATATGGTACTTCCTACCGATAAGCTTAAATTTACACCGACGGCTAAGTAAGGTTGCGTTTGAAGCTTTTTTATTCGGGATACGTGTGAAGCATGATTAGACTCATTTCCGACCAATTTGAAAATTATTTCCTGTAACCGCGGTTTAGATTATAAGTGAGGCGGATATGGTGAGCGGTAACGTATTCCACTTTGTTGCAGTTTTTGAGGATAAAAGTTGTTCGTATTTAACTCACAGTTACTTACCAGTAGTTTTGTGAAATGATTGATATTTATTTATTTATTCGTTTGAACTGAATATCCTTCAGACTTCACTTTCACGCACAATCCTCAGTTCATCGATTGAACCATACACTCGGAAGCACTAGACTCGAGTTTCGCTCTCATTAGAGCTCATCAATAGTGCAAATTCACTGTCCAGTTCGGTATTTGAACGCCGGACCCATCGCATGGAAGGTGTGTGCGTTAACACTACCAACCGGCTCATAACATGGCTGAACCAAATTGTCAATTCATGTTTGTTCAGGTTTTGTCTTCAGTGATAGTCAGTCAGTTCATTTGGTCCGACAGCAATGAAAGGAGTCAGATGACAATGACTCCAATCGAAAGCCTCCCACCAAGTCAGGACTTCCATGTTGGTTACGGGCTGATTTGTCAACGAACCTACAGGGCTGGATTGATGGTTTGCATTTAACTCTCAGTTACTTGTGAGTAGTGGTTTGGGATAATTGAAGGTGAAGTCCGAAGGATAGTCAGTTCAGATCAATAAATATTACAGAATTCCCTCTAGTGAGAGATTGACAAAGGTAGGTCGAACTTGATGACGAAGAGAATCGACACAAGTATATTCAACGTGCCCAACGATTCTTACAAACCGTTGATTGATGCCAGATTGATCTCTCCATTCTTATTCAATCGGAGTTCTTCTACACAGACTATACGCGCGTTCATATGGACGGAGAACATCAGTTGAATCCGAAATTCTCAGAAACAATGACCGGGAGTTAGTGCTGGACAATTAAGAAGTGGTGAACTTGCCTACCTGCGCACTTGCCTCTTATCGGCCGAAACTGAACGGTGAGAAATACTATTATCGAAAAAGCCGACGAGTAATCAAAAGATGCTGGGACAGATTAGCGGCAAATTGCATACGTGATCCCATGAGTAACAAATGTTGATTGTCAATGTATTTGATGATGGAGGGGAGGAGTGGCAACTGATTTAGGAATTAAAGCGCACATTCCGGTTGAGCGAAAACACGAGTCTTAGACACATTGCTTTAGAAGCTGTGGTTGTGTGTATTTGGAAAATGAAGATATTCTTTATTCGGCCAACAAACGGGCACGAGTATGAGTAAATTCATGTTCAGAAGTTACAGAGTCAATGTATTTGTTCAGTCCCCGAATGTTTAATATTGCAATGGTGTCTCTGGATTCGTGAAAGTGAGTCACCAGTTTTTGTCACAGCAGAGTTATGGTTTCATGATTGCGTTTGTAGGACCGGTGGTCCCTTTCCCGGCACTTGGAATGGCGAACCATATGAACACAGATGGCCGAGCGGTCTATTAGATTAATTAGAGAGGGGTATACCTCAGTAGATGTTTTAGCTTCAGATAAGTTCATTGAATCATCAAATTAAACGTTCAAGTATCATCTGCTAATTTTATGGTTTCAAATCCCCATATTCCTAGTTTCTTTGTTGTCGCACAAAACAAAATCATTTTTAAAATATTGTCTGTTTTTCAAAATACCCACTGCAAAAATGAACTGTTGAACTATTTTACACGTGTATGCGCACTATCATATTTATGGTGGAGTTGTAACCTTTTAAGCAGATGTAAATATCATTGCGTAATGGGTGGATAGCTTTTCGCGCCATGCCTTTGCTTGCGCTAACATGTGGCCTAAACTTTTACAACCCATGTATCGAAGGTTATCAAGGATGCATTGACGATAACCAATAATCCGCCCTCTGACACTAAAATCAACATTCCACTTTTCATTGTTCAATTTTATCCAAATGGGCGATCAAAAGACAGCAACCGAAACCCGTCCCACGAGAGTGTATGCATGCTTAATGGTTGTTCAAAATTGAAACTGAATCTGTCAAACCAAAGCGAAAAGTCATTAGAATGAAACTGAAAGTGCACATTAAAAACGTTTTTAGACTTTTCGGCCTCATATGTTTCCAATTGCCGACTATTGAAGGATGATCGACGTAGGCTTCCGAAACAATATAGAGTGAGGGGAAACCCAGTGATGGTTGGTGTCCGTGGTGACTAAGCTGCCTTACCGTGACCAACGGTTGAGAATAAACGACTGCAGGGTCGGATGGTATATACCGAGAGAGACTGGAAACTAATTCAGTTGAACACGATTCACACAATTTTCAGTCAGTTTTACTTTCTCACTATACAGGCATCGAAATTCTTGCCAAAGTTGTTTGCTCTTTGTACTCAGCGGAAATTGAGGTGCGAATCAGTTTTCCAGATACTCCAGTTTGCTCCGAATGGAATCTGAGAAATGCTTGATGGCTTTATCATCTCCAGGTTTCTAGGACCATTGCTTTGGTTACCACCTCTCGATTAATGTCACTGTCAAACAGACTGTGCGCAAATCAAATTTTGTGCTGGATATCTTATGATGTATTTCGGTCAGGAAATTTATCTATCGTTACTACGAGGCAGGTGTATGCGTATAGGTTTTCAGTTGGACGTCTTTTGTAACTTCCTGCGGACAGAGCAGTTGACCAAGTTGTTCGAGACAGTGGGGGGATTCAAGAATAACACGACACGCTTGCGGCTACTCACCGTCGGGTATGCAAGTAGAGAAAATCAGCAGTGCGGTAAGGCCACCTTCAGCCCAGCCCAGAATGGAGAATGGAATCAGGTTCAGTTGACGCATTAAACGAAGACCAATCGTGGCATCTTTTTCCAAGCGTCCTGGTATCTTCCAGCTTCGTGCTTCCGTTCCTCCACTGGATCCTTGCCCCGGTGGGTCCCATGCGATAGCCGTGAAACTGGTTTTTTTGGGTGTATTAAAGGAATGAGGATAATTGGGTTTGGGAGCGTCATTTGAACTGTACTCTATCTACCAGCCCGTGTTTACGATTATTTTTTGTATTAGATTCATGTAAATGGTTTCAGAATTTATTGAAATTTTTATTGTGTATTCTTTTGCTAACTATAGTGTTGAATACATTATGGTACATTCAATTTTTGAACAGCGGGAAAGCGGTCAATCAATGTGATTTCAAACAAATTGAAATACCTTTTTCTATCGGTTCTATAGGTTAGTTACAGATCTATCGGACGACCCGGGCCTGATGGTGAGACAGACGTCGAGAGGGAGTGATGACTTGGCATTACATAATGTTATAGATCACTTTGTTGACCAGTTTAGGTGCATTCACGAAGGTGAGTCTATGTGCGGTGGTTCCAGCCCTCGGTTCTTGGGGAACCAGTGTGTCGGTCTGCAGAGGCCATCCCCATCCAGTATTTATCGATTTCTATATCCGTGCCCTTTTGGCTATCCCCAGAACAGTTAATCCTTATCTGCATTGCAGTCATGGCATGGATACACGCTTGTACGCGAAGATTGGAGGCAGATAATGTGTGAGGGCACTTGTACAACAGAGATGAATTCAAG